CAGCGTCGAGGGTCTCTCGGAGGCCCTCGACCTCCCGCCGAAGGCTGGCGTTCTCCTCCCTGAGCGTCTGGCCATCCGACTGCATCCTGTGCCACAGAGCTGCCGTCGGTGCGCCGACGCCTACGGGGGAAGAGGCATCCCTGACCCGGGCTTTTTTGGCGGCCTCCCGGGTTACAGGCGGCGACACCGGCCGGTCAGCATCAGCGCGTCGTTTGGCCCGAGCGCACGAGGCCGAGGACATTGACGTCATAGAGACGCCATCATCCTCGTTCACCCCCAGCCGTGACCCCGCTCCCGGATCGAGAGCAGCAAGGCCAACTCGGTCCGGCGACCTCTCGAGCTTGCTGCAGATGGGCCTGCAGCCCCCAGCCCGCGTGTCGATGAAGCCCTTGAACTGGGCCTCGACGGCACACCTCCCTCCTCGACTACTTCCGGGCATGGTAACCCCTCCAACACAACGGTGCATGAGCGTGTGACATTGCCGTCACCCCTGCTATTGCCGGCCGACCCGGCACCAGTGCTTCCTGCGTTTTTAATTAAATTGTCCATAGTTTGTGTTTTACCGGCGCATCGTGCGCGGCGCGGCAGGCTGCTGGACAGGAACGGGTGTACCCTCGGGGAACATGCCTAATGAAAGACATACCCCCTACCCCAGTTCCCCGGGACCTGTCCTTCGCATTTAACCCCCCCGGGAATACCGCACAGGGGTCCCGAAGAAGCCGACTCCTGATCCCGCGCGGCACTACCACCTCGGCAGTGCGAGCACACATCAGCCCCCCCCCCCCTTAGGCCATCAGAAGCAAAGCCAGCGCACAGGGGGGAGCACTCCCAGTGGGCCACCGCGCGGGAACGACCACTCCTCACCTTGCCAACTCATCGCGTTCGCCCTCCGCATTCAGCAAATTGGTCCTCGCAAGCGAGTCTAGACTACTGATGCGGAGGCCCAGGAGCACCGCGTGGAGGTGTGATGAGTGGACTTGGGTCAGTCGGGCCCCCAACTTCTCCAAAGTTCCCCTCACTGTCCGAACAAGCTCGAACGGATATTGGTGGAACATCAGATCCATCGGGGTTCTCGACCAGGCGATAACCGTACGAGTCCCTTCCAGCCCTCACACTCCCCGATAGACTTCCACCTGAGACGAGGCTAAGGTTGCAGCAAAGAAAACTACCTTCATTAGAAGACGTTTTTGACCAGGCCATAGCGGTCGAAAATGAAATTGAAAGATATCGATTAAGGTTTAACAACAATCAAATCAGGACAACCTGCCAACTTTGCGGAATCCTCGGGCATATCGCCAAGGCGTGCAGAAGAACATATTCTCCGTACACTGTACTCGACTACAAAGATGCTGCAATGCCAGGAGTCCAGAGGAATCAAGAACCTAGTCAGACTCGTCCAACGTGCCAATATTGTGGAACCTCAGGCCACTGTACAACCGAGTACCGTAGAAAGGAATACGACAGCAGGAACCGTATCAACGACCCAGTTAACAACAAGAACCAGGGAAACGACTCAGTTTCGCGGTTGAATCAGGGTGCTGCCGCGTGAGCGTAATCGTCGCAACGCACCCAACCAATACCTCTCAAGCGAACATAGAAGATACAGAATTGCCCAAATGCAGTTAACTAGGACTGATTGGATACCTTCCGTAACACTACCTGTAAAGGAAGTAAAAAATAACACAGTGGTATTGGTCGATACAGGTTCAGAAGTAAACCTGTTAAAGAATAAAGTCTTGGAGAACCACGTCCGGATTAATTCCCACCACCGAATTTAGCTCCGTGGAATAGGCAGCGACTTCGTGACCACAATTGGATCCATTGATGTAAACCTCTTCCATCAAGAAGTCATCTTCTATGTGGTCCCTAACGACTTTCCCATTCTACAAGAAGGGATCCTGGGAAGTGAGTTCTTCAACGAAAATAAAGCTTCAATCAATTACGCCGAAGAGCAAGTCGAATTTAGAGGTGTGAGAATGCTATTCATCGGCAAAAAAGAAAAGTCACCTCTTATCCAATTCATCAAAGAAAACGGAAATCATCCACCAACTCCCAAGACCTAAGGACTCAGGAAAACAGATGAAGACATGGATATTGATTTATCTCTCTTTTCCAAATGGACCATAGAACCCGAAGCAGAAACCCTCGTAGAAGATTGTTTGGTTGCGAGCATACATGTGGACCCCACACCAGCATGGCCACAAGGAAAAGAAATTATTTCTGAAAATCTGTTGGACTCAGTTGAAAAAATCACCGCCATAAAAGCCGACTTACCAGTAGGAAGCATCCTAGAACCATTCAATATCATGGATTCCACACCAGCATGGCCACCAGGAAAAGAGAACGCAGAAACAAAAATTAATATCAAGGACACACAAAGAACTAAGATACTCAGAATAATGACGTCCATAGGTTACAAGGCAGGACAAGGCCTCGAAAAACGAAATCAAGGACGGGCACATCCCGCCTGTGTCATCAGTAACTATAAACGTCGAGGACTAGGATACCATAAACACCTTTATATGCGAAAGAAGGTATTGGACATAAATACCACCGAACGCGCATTAAACAAGCCATAAGCGCAACAAAACGGACCAACAGTCATAAATACCATCGAACACGTATCAAAACGAACTTGATGCAATAAGTTCACCTAAAAGGACTTGATGGCTGAACATCAAGATAAGAAGGGGACCAAGATCGACTTCAGCGGATGGAAATTGCGGCACATCCATAGGATTTCACGGCAGACCAACAGCTATGACTGCGGCGTATTCGCGTGCCAATTCGCGAAGTGCATCGCCACAAACAGGAGAATCGCCTTCACGCAGCAGTCCATGCCGCTATATCGAGTGATCATGGCCCAGAAAACCACCTCGGAGTATTTACTGTAAGCAACGAGCCGTCTTATTTAGTCTTATTTTTATTTTTATTCCTTTCCTAGTGCAGTATTATGTTTTGGTTTTTTCTTGCGCTTTGCCCACATTCCGTGCCATTGGCTGTGTTTTTGTTTATTTTTCCTTGTATATAGTGTAAATATTTTCGTTTATTAATTACTTCTCGTCTCTCGCACATATATTCCTACTACTACTACTACTATTATTCTAAAATATATATATACAAAAAAGAAGCAAAAAAAACCAAAACAAACAAAAAACAAAAAAAATACTTAGTTAATATTATATTTTATATTTACTTAATATCTATATACTTACCGTATTTATTTAATATCTGTATACTTACCACATTCACTTAATATTACATTTTTTTTATATACTTATTCACGTAATATTATATTTTATATCATATACTTACTCATGTAATACTATATAATATATACTTACCAAAGGTTACATTTTCAAACGAAATAAGGGAAACACGCGCTGAATTCACACATTTAACATTGCACAGCTTACTTTTTCCAAAATACTGCGTACTCCCGATAATTGCGTCGATGCTCGTGTATCTCCGTAAAAATAGTATATATATATATATATATATATATATATATATATATATATATATATACATATTTCTTTTTCCATTACTCTCACATAAATGTCACATTTTATGCCTTTTTTCGTAATACTAATCAAACGCCAAGACGCGCGTTTATATTCCTACTCGCAGTCATTAACAGACGTTTACTTCATTTCACTTACCAATTTATTAAAACAGATATTATCATTAACGACACTAGCTATGGATAAGTCGTTGACTGTCAGTAACCCATAAGATATTAACGACCTTATACCATTAAGACGTCCGACTGCCGGTAACTAATCAACGCGCGCGGTAGGTTGCCGATCGTCCCAGTACCTTTTACCCACCTGTTACCACGCATTATTCACTATCTACTTAAGCACAGTATCGTAATCAATCTCATACCTTAATTCTCTTGGCAAATGCCGACATTAAATTCCCAAGCGTGGGACATAGGAATATAATCGTCCCCTCGAGTAACCAAATACGTCCGAGCGATAGGACTCTTGGCAAGCATCGTTAGCGTCTAGACATAATTAATCTCGTAGGAATAAGATCACCCTTCATAATTGTAACTAAACCTTGGAGACAAATCCGAGCGCACACCTGCATCGATAGCCGTCAATCGCCAGACGCTACGTCAGCAAAAATAAGGCGCGCTCGGTCCCAGCAGCTCGCCGTACACCGGATGCTGCGTCAGCTAAGATAAGCCACTCGTCGTTGCACCGGTCGAGCCCGTTGAGACAAAGAAGTCGCGGTGGTGGGAACAACGAACCACCATAGACGAGCTATAGTTCGACCGTCGACGAGTTACAGTTCCATTCCGAGTTTCATACAGTTTACGAGTTCCAACCCGACCGTCGACGAGTTACAGTTCCATTCCGAGTTTCATACAGTTTACGAGTTCCAACCCGACCGTCGACGAGTTACAGTTCGATTCCGAGTTTCATACAGTTTACGAGTTCCATTCCGACAATCTTAACGTACGTTTTAAACGTTAAATATTACAATCGCGACGCATCGTACGTCTACCTTCGATTTAACCTAACACTGTCTTCATATTATTACAAGTGTATACTACTCGATATTATATTAAATTCTTGTTACCTGTTAATCTCGTGACGTTATTCCGTTTACCTCTCAAGGATCAGTGTTTGCCAATTTAATATTATTTTATATGATCATCGAAGGAGTCCACCGAGTTTCCGGAGACATCGCGTAGCCACCATACCACGCGGTTCGAAGGAAACCTCTTAAGAGTCCATAGACACTAGCACGGTTGTTCATGCTTCGGACCATTTATACTGAGCAGCTCTCGTTTGCGTTCTCTACAATGGAGCAATCCCAAGCATAACCCCGTTGTTTTCTTTCAAATATCGAGCCTACGATTGAGGCTCTTTCACACAGATTCTATCTGATAATTTACGTCTGTCTCGCGTTTAAACCCTATAATCTATAACCTAACCGCGCATCCGTCGACCACGCAAAGGAACCAGCAGTCAGTCTATGCATCGTTTTCAATCAAGGTGAGTAACTATAACAAAGTGCCCGGTCTCTTTCGTTAAACCTTTATTAACAATTATTCGAATACTTAAATTAATCCCGTTTTTCTTCGCAAGACCACGTTGACCATTACTTTCGTATTTTCTCGCCCTTCTTTTGACTGCTACGTTTGTAGGGACGTGTATTCGTTCGCCAAACCTCTTGACAGTCAACGGACCCACCTAAAATTTATAAATTTAATTAACTTGATTATTTACTCATTACCTTTATTATTATTATTCGAAACCTTACCTGACATTCAGGGAGAACCTTCCGTCTCCTAGACAGTTTCTTAACACCGTCTTGGTTCACTGGTTCCCTCTGTCGAGCCGCTCCGGCAGTTTGAACCTGAAACAAGACGTAACATTAATAAAATTGGTGACAGCTTGGTGGGATATTCCACTAAAATTTGGGATATTCTATTAAAATTTGGTATATCTTATTAATATTTCGATACGTTTTATCAAATTTTTGATATTTTCATTAAAATTTGAGAATATCCGCTAAAATTTACAATTTTTTCATAAATTCAGAGATTATATTCTCTATTTTTGCTACTATTCAAGATACAACACTGGTACCAACAAACAAATAAAATTTATTTCTAATTCAATATGAGTTCCAAGGACGGTGTACAAACGCGCTCTACTACAACTAATTCCGCGCATTATACGGTCGACGAACTAGAAAGGATGGCCGAACACATTACGCAACGTGAGGAAAGAATACGCAAACAAGAACGACAAGTAGAAGCAGACAGACACACTTTAGAGAAACAAATGAACGAACGACAGATTCAAATGGACCATGAAAGAAACGCTATTTTACAAGGATAGGCAGAGATCCTGAAAGAACACGATCGTCTAAAAACAATAGTTCAACAATTAGTCAGCGAAATTAAAAACTTGAAAAGCCGACCCGCGATTCTAGAACGTACACCCAGCCGCGAAGGTCTCGCCTACGAAGATCCCGTAAACACTCAAGGACATCCGATAGTTCCCACACCATTAGATTCTAATTCATCAGGTATTCACAAAAGAGTCAAAGAAGCAACAGACGGAATTCAAAATTTCGATGACACGAAGTCCATGGTTATTCCTTTTTGTGAATCTTGTCTAAGAGCACGCGACTACTTACTCCCAGGTGGACGAACCTCTCCTGACGCGAACTATCTTCAATAAACTCCGCGGACCTGCTTATAGAATTATCGGTCGATCACAATTTAAAACGGTAACCGAATTATGCGACAAGATACGATGATTGTTTTCCCCGATGAAAAACGCAAATTTTTATAAAGGCGAACTAAGCCGCACTTTTCAGGCATCACATCAAACTGTATTGGACTACGCGATTAAAATCCAAGAATTAAGAGATATTGCTACTCGACTGCGTATCGAAGGTTGCAGAGGTCTAGAAGATGCAATTGAAAAAGCGATTCGCATTCACACAGACATCGTGGACGAACAATCTCGATTCAAACGGAACTATAATTCGAATCAAGACAGAAGACAGGACTACAGATCGCAGCAACCGACACCCAGACAACACGAACGACAAGATAGACCGCGATACAATAATGGTTGCAATAACTACAATCGTAATAACTATAGCAATCAAGAGAGACCTCGACCCAATTACAGTAACAACTACAATTACAATAATAATAATAATAATAATAATAATAATAATAATAATAATAATAATAACAGAGACTTGAGACGGAATCGGGACAACGGAACCAATAACGACGGAAGGAATGATATCTCAAATGTAGACCCCAGACCGAACACTTACTCTAATCAAGACGCAAGACCACCTGATAAACAATGCCGCTACTACAAAATTTCAGGCCATACGATCGAAGAATGTCGGAGACTACAAGCCCGAAGGAAATACGAGCGAAGAGAATTCAAAAAGGGAAAAGCCAACGGCTCGCCACAGGACCGCGCTGGGCAGGGCTCTTTTCCGAATCAAAACCGCGGAACATATACGATGACGACCGGAACATCAAAAGGGATTCCCCAACAAGAGGAAACAGTCCTGAACGAAGAGGAAGAAACGATACAAGCCGACGACAGCCTACTCGAACAGTTATTCGAAACATAAATCTGCATCCTATCGACAGCAATTCTGTACCCATGGTTAAACTCTTCATCGACGACTCTGACAAAACGCATACCTTTATGATCGACTCTGGCGCTGAAATAAATTTAATCAAGAAATCGACGCTTCCTACCTCACTACATCTCGACACCAGCGTATGTCCAGCCCTTAGGGGAATCGGGCAAGGGTTAGCCCCAACGCGAGGACGAGTCCTTTTACGCACACTCGGGTATCCAGTCCCATTCCACGTCGTCGACGACGACTTTAATATCCCTTATGACGGGATCCTAGGTGCCGATTTCCTTCATAACCATCTAGCCAAAGTAAATTATGCCAAGAAGGCCATTAAATGGAACCAATGGACGATTCCATTCTACACATCTACCAAGATTAAGGTGAAAGCCAGATCCGTAACGCCAATAAACTTGTTCGTCATACACTCCAACTACAAAACAGGGTACATAAATCTCCTAACTCCTCAGAAAGGAATATTTTTAGGCCGATGCGCCGTTACAAATAATACTGGCCGAGCAATGGCCATGTGCTACAATACAACGATGAAGGACGAAGAAATAGAAATTCCAGTAACAGAATCGCTACCTTTCGACATGCCGGAAGATACCGGACACAGGAATATTAACATATGCAGCACACAAGATGACAGAATCGAGCAAATTATTAAACAATTGAGGCTGGAACGCCTCAATTCGGAGGAAAAGCAACACGTGATACAACTGATAAAAAATTATCCAGAATGTTTTCATTTAAAAGGTGAACCATTGTCGCACGCCAAGGGAGTAACGCATAAAATTGAGATCACAGATGATATTCCGATAAACTCTAAGCAATACAGATTCCCTCCTATTCATAAAGAAGAAATCAACAGACAAATAAACGAACTTCTCAGAGACGGGATAGTCAGGCCATCCATGTCTCCCTATAACTCTCCAATATGGATCGTACCTAAAAAGGCCGACTCAGCCGGAAATAAGAAATGGCGAGTAGTAATAGATTATAGAGGCTTGAACGAAAAAACAATCGGAGATGCATACCCCCTGCCTAATATCACCGAAATCCTAGACCAGGTCGGAGGAGCCAAATACTTTAGTGTGCTTGATTTAGCGTCAGGTTTTCATCAAATCTCAATGGAAGAGAAAGATGCAGCAAAAACAGCCTTTTCTACACCATACGGTCACTACGAGTTCACCAGAATGCCTTTTGGTCTGAAAAACGCACCAGCTACGTTCCAACGTTATATGAACAATCTCTTATCCGGACTTCAGGAATGGAAACTATTTATCTATATGGACGACTTCGTAATATACGCATCTTCATTGAAGGAACACCAGGTCAAGGTCACAAGGCTCATGGAACAGTTAAAGGAAGGAAACGTAAAGCTACAACCGGACAAATGCGAATTTCTACGAAAAGAAGTGGCATATCTAGGCCACATACTAAACGAAGAAAGAGTCCAACCAGACCCACGAAAATTAGAAGCCGTGAAGAAATTCCCAATACCGAAAACTACCTAAACCACTAACCACTAACCACTAACTGGCTAAACCACTCACCGACTTATTGAAGAAAGATAAACCATTCGTTTAGAACTCCCATCAACAACAAGCATTTGAAACTTTAAGAAACGCTTTGTGCACGGCATCCATTTTGCAATTCCCAGATTTTACGAAAACCTTTATCTTAACCACGGACGCCTCTAGCTATGCCATAGGAGGAATTCTTAGCCAAGGAGAAATAGGGAAAGACCTCTCAGTAACATACACGTCCCGCACATTGAATACCTACGAACAAAAGTACAGCACAATCGAAAAGGAATGTTTGGCCGTAGTTTAAATCATTTCCGACCATACTTATATGGGTGAAAATTCAAAATTATAACAGACCATAAGCCGCTGGTATGGCTTAGCAATATTAAGAATCCGACCTCCAGACTCTGGAAATGAAAATTAAAACTTTCGGAATATGAATTCACCATAGTATATCGACAAGAAACCACAAACTTGAACGCGGACGCATTGTCACGAAATCCTCCAGAGACCGTAACCGTTATGCCAGTAAACACCTCGTCGTCTGAAGATTACGATACTTTAATCGATGTTCCGAGCAAAGATCGAAAACGCCGAAGATCCTCCGTTTCCGAAGAATTCATTAGAAAAGAAAAGCGAATAGGCTAATCACCAGCACTCGAAGATGAAACCGAAGCTGACCTTCTTGAAAGAAATCAACCATCCACGTCAAGGGATCAACCCTTCGACCGATCTCCAACACCGACCAATCCGCCTTATTCACCTCCCATTTCTACGCAAATCCCTGACTACGCGAATCGGGAAACTTCAGCCGAAGAAGACACGTTCCGAGGACATTCATACCACATCCGAAGAAGAGGAGGAACTCCTAATTGACAGAGAGCCGAGATTCGAATTCCTCAGGATAATTAAAACGAAAGAACCATTAACATTACAAAGGAACAACATTGTTATCTTCGTTACTTACCAAGGGAACCCTGCTTGTGATGGAGCAAAGGAACTACATGAAATTGGACAAATTCCCAATCCTTCGGACCTTACCCCAGATGTCCCACACGTCAAGAATCTAAACAAAAAATACCTCATAACCATTCCTATCCAAGAACGTTCGACAGCTCCCATTAATAAAAGCCAACTTCTTTCAGGTTTACGTATGATACGATCTGTACTGGACGAGTTGAACCTTAACTCTTTCTCTATTCGAATGATAGACCCACTAGGGGACGTCTCATGGCACTTCGTCAATACTAAATTGCGAGAATTGTTCGAAAAGTATAGAATCACTATAACCTATTGCACCAGCGAGATAACAGTTCCTCCAGTTACAGAACGATCATCTATTATCGCGAACGTACACGGTTCGATTACGAATGGACACAAGGGTGTAACCAGGACACTCAGTCGAATAAAACAGAGGTACATTTGGCCTAATATGAAAACGCAAATTCAAGACTACATTCGGGCATGTAAAATTTGTCAACTCAAGAAATTAACACGAGTAAAGACCAGACAACCAATGATAATTACAAATACACCCGCTAGAGCCTTCTATAAGGTCGCGATAGACATTATGGGACCGCTCCCAACGACCACGGACGGTAACTCTTATATATTGACGATGCAAGACCTTCTAACTAAATATTCTCTGGCAGTTCCTTTAAAGAATATAAGTACGACCGCGATAGCAGATCAAATGTTAAAAAAATTGATATGTATTTTTGGTGCTCCTAAAGCGATACTAACCGATCAGGGAGCCAACTTAATATCATCCGTGATGAAACATGTGACAAAGAGATTCAATATTAAACAACTCAGAACAACGGCATTCCGACCGCAATCGAACGGCTCGTTGGAGAGATCACATCACGTTCTATCGGAATAACTGAAAATCCAAACCGACAAGGGTCAAGATTGGGATACGTGGCTTGATCTAGCCATGTTATCATATAGTACTAGCACGCATAAAGCAACTAACTTCACCCCCCATGAACTTGTAACGCCCCGGGTTCGTCAGGTCCTAGCTCCGATTAGAATAGGTATTAATTCCCCTTTCTTATTTCAAGTATCATGGACCAATATCCCAGGAGGAGAGCAGATGAGGTAGCCGAGCGGAAACTACAACGATGGATCAACGGAATCCTCCCAAGTAAGTATTCAACGAGAAATGATGTTAGTTATTCCACTCCATGGCAGTTAGCATGGAGACAAAAAACACAGGTAAGCTTAATTAAGATATAATCAATAAATATATAAGTAGTATGGGTGTGCATGTATCCAAAAAATGTATGCATTGAGCATACTTTCAGAATCACACCCTATTCGACCCGATAACTACGCAACCTGTCTCGATTTGTATTTTCGGGTACCCACACACCCCTAATAAGTAAATAATTATAACTTATTTTGTGTTAAAACGTGTAAGCTAATATAAAATGAAATGAAAAATGTAAAAATATTACAAAAATATCTATTTTTGTTTGTACGTATTAACATTGTAATTATCTCTAATCTAAAAACATTTTCCTGCATGCTTTTTCATATATCTATTGATTGTAGAATGTATTTTTCCATGTTTCCATTTTTTCTAGCCACAGTTATCACAGTCCGCAACTGATCCTGATAATCCAGAAGTTCCTCAAGCTGGGCCAAGCAATATTATCATATTGCCAACAACTCAAGACAGTTCAGGACATACTGCAAATTCTCAACCTGGTCCAAGTAATGTATTGCCATTGCCACTGTCAACATTTCAAGACACTTCAGCACATATTGTAAATTGAGTAACAATATCAACTCAACAGCGAATTACACCATTCCTACCACGAAAGATGACAGTAGCAAACTGCAAAAATATTGATGAAAAATTATTATGCCTGTTTATAAATGATTTGCAACCTTTTAAAATAGTTGAAGATATTGAATTCAAAGAATTTGTACATGCTTTGAATCCAAGTTACGAATTTCCAAATCGCAAATTTATTTCACACTCTTTAATCCTGGCTCGCTTTGAAGAAGCCAAATGTACCTGCAAAGAAAAATTAGAAAACAGTACTAAAGTTTCTATTATAACAGATACGTGGACATCACTAAATACTGAGTTTTATAGCTGTGACTGCACATTTTATTAATAATTTCAAATTAGAATCAATTCTTTTAACTTGAGTGCAAATGACAGATTCCCATACAGGTCAAAATATTTCAGATGAATTAAAAATAATATGCAATGAATGGGAAATAAAGTTTTTAATAAAGTTGACTTTGCTACAACTGATAACGCTTCAAATATGAAAACCGCTATTTTAAAATATTGTAGATGGAAACATATTCCATGTTTTGCATACAGTTTAAATTTAATCGTAAAATCTAGTTTAAATAATGATGCAATTAATTTACTCCTTGAAAATGTTAGAAAAATTGTTAATTATTTTTAAAAAAGCACCACAGCTGCAGAAAAATTGAAAAAATACCAATTAAATTTAGGCACAAATGTACAGAAGTTGATACACGACGTACCAACTAGATGGAACTTTACTTACAATATGATAGACAGATTTATAATATTAGAAGAGCCGATTAAAGCAACAATAGCAATCATTAATAAGAACTTACCACAAATTACAAGTGCAGAGTGGGAAATATTGCATGAATTGGCAGTCATACTAAAACCGATTGAATCAGCAACAAAAATTATAAGTGGAGAACAATATCCAACCATATCTATTATAATACCATTGACATCAGGATTAAAAAACATCTGCCAGAAACTAAAACAAAAAGATTTTTCAACAGTAACGCAACAGATAATATACCATATTGAAATAGGAATACTAGAAAGATTTACAGAAGTAGAAACAGACATAATAATACAAATTTGCACATTTTTAGATCCACATTTTAAAAATGCCTTTTTTTCTGAAGAAAAACTTGATATAATAAAAACAGAGATAATAAATATATTAATTGACAATAGAAGCACAAGTACAACTGAAAATATAATAAACATAGAAATAGATATACAACCAGATACAGATACAGATACAGATGAATTATCTATTTGGGATGCCTTAAAAAATAAAGTAAAAGAAAATATGCCGAAAGTCATGATCCCAGAAAACATAATAGCAACAGAAATACAGCAATATTTAATGGAGGAATTTTACAACAGAACCCATTAATTTGGTGGGAAGACCATCAATTTTAAGTTTCGTTATTGACTAAATTAGTAAATAATTTATTTTGCATGGTGGCTACTTCAGTGCTATGCGAAAGATTATTTTCTAAAGCCGGGTTAATTTTAACAGAAAAAAGAAACAGATTACAGGCAGAAAAATTATCTATGCTGTTATTTTGTTCTTTGTATTTTATTTATAGTATTTGTATTATGTTTTATTTATTAATTATATTTTCTAACTGTGTTACACTTTGTAAAAATCTAAAGACGCTTACAATTAAATTAAAACTTGCAATTCATAATTATTGACTTATTTTCATTACTCTTCACTCTTCCTCATTAAAGCATTCTTTTATTTACTATTCCTTACTTTACTTTATTTTATGCGATGTATTTGATGTCGTTAATTACATACTTATGTATATAGAATATATGTAAAATATACAGGTAGGGTGTTTTTCATTACGGCGCATATCCATTTAGGCTGAAGATTCTAACACGCATACAAGGAACAGTTATGTTCTTCACCAATCAGAAGCGATCACGAAAAATCACGAATCACTGTGAAAAATCACCGTGATCGAATCACGAGTGATTCACAAGTAGCAGTTCTAGCCATCTCTAGTGTAGACTGACGATATAGTAACAACAGAACAGACGACGACAGCGCCACAACAGAAAGCGCGATAACGAGGCAGGCATATTACCATACAAATCATCAAGATTTCACAGCAACGAAGCTGATCAAGTTTTTTGAAGCGAAGAAGCAATATTTTCTTACGATTATTTTTCTCAAATATTCTTTACATCACTCCGCATGCCACTGCAAAGCACGATTTTGCAATTTCGGCCTTAAAACTTTATAAATAGTAAAAGTATGGTTTTCTTTTTCTTATAGAAGATATTTGTTTACAAACACTTTTTCCAAAATCAGGCCTTGCAGTGGTGTGCGCCAAGGTATAAGGAATATTTTTAAACCAGAATTATTAGAAAATATTGCTACTTTGCTTCAATATCCTTGACAAAAATCATGTTAGCCTAATCGCCCTGTCCTCGTTTCTCCTGCAATTGTTGTATCCCCCTCTCTGTCCTTGTCCCAGAGTTTCCTACTTTCTCCGCAACTGTCGCTGAAGTCAACTCGGAGTTTGGCTCTGGATCCTGCGCACCCTTAGAAGTAGAATTCTTGGTTTTATTTTTACATTGTATTTTTTTGTTTGTAACAATGGCTTTAAATATGGTCAGACGTTGTTTGTTATCGAGCACAGAAAAAATACGTAAGAAGCTTGTGTACTTCTATTTTGACTAAGTAATAGATTCATATGTTGTATTAAAGTTAATATTTTTATAATATGTATATACTTTTGCATTTTGAATTATTAGTATTAGTAATATATTATATTAGTATTATAGAAGTGTATTAAAAATAAGAAGGTTAATTAAAATGTGTATTTTCCAGAAGGGCAATATAACTCTAAAATGAATTATAGTAATAAACAGATTTCTGAAAAATATCAAATGTTAGCGGTATCTGTACCAAAGGAATTTATTTATATGGTACAAATGAACAGACCAGACAAATTTAATGCTATGAACGATATTATGTGGAAGTATGTATTTATATGAAATCTTGATTAATATTACGTTCAAAATTTTATATTATTTATGTAATTGTACAGAGAATTCAAAAAGTGTTTTGATGAATTGGCAATAGATCCAGAATGCAGAGTCATAATTATTTCAGGAGCTGGGAAAACATTTTGTGCAGGTATATAGCACAAAATATATAGCTCTTATTTTATAAACATTTAATTTAGTAAAAAAAAATAGTTCAAAAACAGTATAAGATGACTTTTATAGGTATTGATTTCCAAAGTTTGATGCAACTAGGAAATGAATTAACCAAACATGAAGATGTTGCACGAAAATGCAAAGTTTTACAACTAAAGATAAAAGAATATCAAGATAGTTTTAATGCCATCGAAAAGGTTACTCGTTAATTATAATCTTAATATTCATAATTATGAGTTTACTCGAACTATATTTCAGTTTTAATAACTGTTTTTCATAAAATTATCCTTTAGTGCCCAAAACCTGTAATTGCAGCCATACATGGTCCATGCATCGGAGCTGGTATAAATATGGTGTCAGCAGCAGATATTCGATATTGTTCCTCGGATGCCTGGTTTCAAGTAAAAGAAGTTGCATTGGGTATGGCTGCCGATGTGGGTATATTGCAAAGATTTTCAAAAATCGTAGGCTCTGACAGTTTAGTTAGAGAACTTGTATATACTGCAAGAAAATTTGCAGCTTCCGAGGCATTACAACATGGTTTTGTTAGTCGCTTATTTCATAACCAGGAAAGGTAAACAATTTTCTTGATTTTATGTAAATAATACATAATATTATATTTTACCAATTTTACTTACTTTTAATTTTACATAGTTAAAAATACTTTTTATTCCAATTAGTTTATTGAAAGGATCAATGGAACTTGCAGAACAGATAGCAAGTAAAAGTCCAGTTGCGGTACAAGGTTCGAAATTAAGTTTAGTTTATTCGAGAGATCATCCTGTTCAAGATAGTCTTGATCATATTGTAAGCGTCAATATTACTCCACCTGTAATGGTATAATTACCGTCATTTAGATATAATTATATTTCTTTTATTTATATTTGCAGGCTATGTATAATCAAGTTATGCTTCAAAGTGAGGATTTTTTGGATGCTTCTGTGTCACTGGCTACTAAATCTGATCCACCACTTTTCTCAAAATTATAAAAAGAGATTTAAATGTACAATAGAACCTTGGCAATTGCATATAATATTAAATATCCAAGTAATGACCAAGAAGCATTGCATTTACTATATGGGATGAGTGTGTGTGTTTTATTTGGGCAGACGAGTATTATATAGACACACATAATATATCTTCGAAGGATTTTTAAATGTATGACTTGTTATACTTATATATTTTTGGACATTATATTTGATATTTTATATGTTAAACAGATTGTAATAAAGAACTATTTTTAAACCTGTTAATACTATTGCAGCTTCTAAGGCAACAACTTTGCTTACTAATAACAAATTTTCGTTGCTACTTGTATTTCCTGTACTAGTAGACGATATTACTTCGATTAATCACAAAATTATGTCTTTCCAGCAAGTTAAGTCTGAAAGCTCTGAAGAAGACTTTCCAGTCTACGTTTTTTAGGTGTAGCTTCTAATAAAGCAGCATCCATTTCGTCAACGATAGAGTATACATTTAATTCGTTAGATATTTTCACCTACAAACGGTATTTTAAAGTGTTCTATATGTAATTTTCATTAATTTTAATAATAGTAATTTCTATAGTAGAATTGTAAGTGTAGATGTGTATACGAAAAAGAGTATACAATACGTACAATTAGTAAATTAATGTAATGCTCGTAATTGATTCTGTTTGTTTGCGGATCGCATGCAATAGCCATCATATCAGTTATTTCCTGTTCCGAAAATGGTTCCGCAATTTCCATCATTGCTTTTTCTAGGACATCGCGGATAATGTATCCTCTGTTTTCACGATCTAGTAATTGAAATGCTTTTAACAAGTTCTCTGGTTCAGCTGGCTTAAATCTAGAAGAAATATATAAACTTGAATTTTAGATAAGGCCATAGAAGAGATCAGATATCTAATTGTTATTTTGTTTAAGTAAAATGGAAGTATGCAAATAACTAACTTGCGTTCGTTTATAGATTTACACATATACTCTAGAAATCTATTTAATGGTACGCAATTGTTTTCTACATTTTCCACTTCAACTTGTATCTCTTGCAATTCTGCTTCGGTAATAACACATCCTAATGCTCGAATAATTGTTCCTAAATCACTGACATCTATTTCACCAACTTTTCCGCTATCAAATACATTGAATGCCTCACAAAGCCTTTTCTCTAGGAGAGTTGGTTCTAAAGCAGACACTGTACGGAAATAACATAAATAAGCTGAAAAGTACATAATAGATATCTATGATTTAAAATTATAGAATAGAAAAAGCAATACATAATAGGTAAGTATATGGAAACAAATCAAGTGATAAATTTATTAATGTATCGATTTTAACACTTTCTCTTCTCAATATGTTATTGGTCATTTTTATATATTGCACAATGTTTTACTCACTCATTTTCTGCTTTGCATTTATATACATTAATAAATCTAAAGAAACTACGTTACACTCGTACTGACTGACTGACTGTAGTTGATTTGTAAATGTTTGATCAATACATTTTTAAAGTAAACATGTATGTGATTTCGATATGTGTATAAAATTTATTTTTTCTTTACAATAATACAATTCTTTATTTGTGATATTAACGTTAATAGTTCGAAATATTTCACGTATGTACGTAAATTGTTCATACATACTACGTAGAGTATCGCGTCTTGTTGATCGTCTCGAAAACATGCTTTGTCCTCTAGACGATTTTGACATTTGATGAACGGAATCATGTTTTGATACTGAATGCATTGTATTGCGAAGTCTATTTTAACTTATAACCTGTTTATAATGTGATAGTCTATATAGATCTCGAAAAAGAGTTAAAATATTTCAGTCTTTATAATAGCTTACGTTTTAAATTAATATTATGTACGTTTCCGTGATAAAAAATAACTTGTGAATTTAGCAAGTAAAATAATCGACAATAAATTTTTAATCTGTACAAAATTCAATCTAATTGACATACATATATCTATATTGTTCATATTAGTTTCTATTCACACTTCAGGTTTTCACATTTTTTGAAAAATACCAAATATTATTCTTGCTATTATTAAATGTATGTTTGATGCAAAAAAATACACACGAGAAGTTATTTTTATTTAAAGCAGAAAAAATATTCTTTGAATAAAATATTTCGCTATTCGGAAGTATTTTTTAAGAAAATATTTTTTGTCGCATGAATGACGGAAAGGCACAATTTTAAAAATGAGCCGTTTGTCGATCTATTTCTGTAAGATCTTCTATTATTTCTTGCACACGCGTTCCAATCTTCTTGGCTACATCTATTTTTTCATTATTTGGTAAATAAAGATATCGCCAAACTAAGTCACCATCGATAATTCCCCTTGCAGGATTTCCCTGAGTTCGGACGTAACTTTTGTACGTACTGAAAAGGGAAAAATAATTACAGAAAATAACTTTGATCTTAATATATGCTTTATGAATACCAAGAAGCAAGATAATTACCGATAAGCTTTGGGATTTAATCCAGCAATGTGACAAATATGTGTTACCAACACATTTTGTAACATAAGTAACCGTCGATATGTTTTTTCTGGCACAGGTAAAATATAACCAAGACTTCCATCTAAAGTTGCTAATACAAAATACAATTAATATAATTTTACTTGCAAATTGAGCTCGCAATTATTTTTTTCATGACTTTTTAAACTTTAAACTTTTAAGCTTACCATACATGGTTACGTGTCTTTTGTCCGCACCAGAAAAGTGTTTCTTATCGTTTGCGGGATCCGAAAGTCTGCTTTTTATACGGAAGAACGTATTTATTTTCTGGCCTAAGTGGAAATCAGCTTTTCTAATTAACTTTTGTCCTCCAAGGCTTTCTCTCGACTCTGGTTGATACATAAATAAAGCTATATTGCTTTCGCCGTCAGCCACAAGAAATCCTAAATTTGTGTTATCAATCAAGTATTCAATAGTATATACTTCTGCTGGTCTAAAATCCTGAAAAAGTATTTCTGTTTTTAATATTTTTCTAGAGTAAGAACGTGCTACTGCTAGCGAACTTACACTTACCCTACTGACAAGAGATAGTGTTCTATACTCTTCTTGAAATCGTAATAAACTAATTGATTTATATACATCGGCTATTAAAATTAAGCTTTTAATGCTTAACATTTGGTGAATGTAAATTTGTGTATCTATAAAAGCAACTCCGACAAGGTCATTATCCTTTAATTGCCAAATATATATTTTTTGTCCAACAGCTGAGACTAAAAACCCTGATACTTGCGTGATAGCAGTTATCGGACCTTTCTGTTCTTTTGCATAAATCTGCTTGAATCTATTTTTCGTTAATGGTTGGCCAGGTTCGGGTACAACTTCGATTATATCAAATATGAGGATCTGGAAAAGAATTTCAAAACTGAAATCGTAATCGTATTAAACGTAGTATATTTAATATAAGTAAGGTGTACCCTTCCTCTGCTTGTAATATCTTCGCCATAGTTATAATTCGTTCCCACTACTATGTAACCCTTTAAACCAGATCGTGTTCCTTCGTAAGCTAAAGACACATTTTTTAAACAAGTGGCATGTTCCCATTGATCTAGTTCAATTTTAGTATTAGGAATAGTTTCCCATGAAACAGGCGAGAACAACACTATCGAAAATTGTTCTTGAGAGGGATAAATAAATCTCTCTGATCGTTCTTCTTCTGTGAATTCCTAAAGCAAAAAGAAGAAAATTAAAGTAGTAACGTTGCTACGACCATTTTAAAAATATCATTGTTATTTCCTAAGTTCATACTTTATCTTCGCCGTTGAATCTATAGTAACTCTTAAGTGGTTCGGCTATACTCGTTATGACACAATAAGTTTTACTTTCAAGATGATATGTGACAAAATGTGGCGTGCATCGTAATGGTACTTTCCTAACAGGCCATGGCGCATCGTATGATAAATGGGTTGGTAAAACGCATATCCTTAATTCTTCCTAAAAAATTAAAACATGAATATTTACATTTCATTTGAACTTTAACAATAATGGTTGTAACGATAACGACAACGCAAGAATGCATATAGTTACCGTAACTTATAAACAAGAAACATAGACAATGGTTCTAGGACGGTGATATCATTACTTCATGTGTTTATTAATATTCCGACATTATAACCTCAAAGGAAAAAAACATAGAAACTGATCCACTATAAAATATAATGTTTGACACGTAATTGAACAGAATTGGTAAAGTACATGCATCTCCTTATAAGATAATTTCTTTTTTATACACACTAAGCATTTTTCACGAACATGTTCATGAAAACCTTCATAAACATACGAAGTAATACCACACCATACGCAATAACAATTATGAAAATAAAACAAACATAAACACGATGATACCTTACTGTTGAAATAGAGGAAACCTTGTGGACAGTTTATGTTATTAAAAGGTGCAAAGGATGTAACGGGGCCATCGATACCCATTGGGTGAGTGCGTAATTCACCTCTTCCCGTGAGAAATATCCAATGCGGATAATCACTACAAATAAATACACCATTGTATCCAGCAATGTTACTAAAGTAACGCATCATACAATGTCGAGTTTCATTCATTGAAGGCATATCTTCGTCTTTAGGTACTGACCTATAAAATAAAATACTAATTTATAGTATGCAAAAATTAAAAATTATACAGTTTAAGAAACAAATTCTATACTTTAAATGTCCTGGTATTATGCCATGATCTAATTTCTTAAATCTTAATTTTAAATGACCCTTTGGATATCTATATGCTTGATAAATTTGAAGTCCAGAATCTAGTCTTACTAAAAGCATTGGTCTACTTCCGTGATGACCTAATGCTACCATTAAAATTTCACGCACCTGTAACAATATATTTTTGTATAAAAGATGTACTTGATACTTTAATTGATATACAAGCCATTCCAATATTATACTATACTTAGTTCAAACGAACATAATGCACTTATTTATATAATGTTTTAATTCTTAATCAGAGTTAATAATTAATGTTTCTGTTCCAAAGAGACCCTACATTAAGAGTACAAATGTTTACCTACATAAATGAACAGTGCTTATTTGAACTACACAGGGTGTCTCATTATAATCTTTCCACGCGATTATCTCGCAAAATATTCATCAAAAAAAATTTTTAAACGAAATATGCTCTATCTGAAGGGGGACATTCAATGGTGTACACTGATTTTTTCTGAGTGGAGGCGCCTTCGAGATTTGAAGGTGACCTTTGTTTTTTTAAACGGAAACGCAGTTTTTTTTCACGCCAGACACATAGCTTACCTCAAGACAAATCCATTGATCTACATTATATTGACCTTGAAATGTAATTCAAAGTCATTTCAATGGCTTGAAGTTTTCTTCTTCGCTGCATGTCCAGAAAATGTTTCTTATCTTCTAAATTCAAAAGTACGACCTTGAACATTTATCCAGCACCTGATTCTATTTCTAAATGACAATTCAACTTGTTCTAAAGTGTCCCTAGCAATTTGCCTGCAAGCATTTATTATTCAAGCCTTCATATTTTCGGCTGGTGTTGGCTATTCCACATAAACTTTATCTTTTATGTAACCCGAAGTAAAAATACAAAAATGTTAAATCTAGTGACCTTGGTGGAAAAGGTATCGGACTTTCTCTACCTATCCAGCATCTAGGAAACATTTCATTCAAAGATTGTTGAATGCGGCGATCGTAATGAGCTGGAGCACCGTCATGCTGAAACCACATACGCACTCTGGTGGGCACTGGAATGTCTTCTAAAAGGATTTGCAACTCATTACGAAGAAAATTATTGTATCGTTCTCCAGTTAGTGTACCATTAAAAATATATGGATCAACTAAAAGCCACCAATAATGTCACACCAAACATTTAGAGACCATTAAACGCTGATGTTCAATTGCTCGATGCCAGTGAGGGTCTTCATCACATCAATAGTGGAAATTGTGACGATTCACTTCTCCCGTGTTTTTGAAAGTTCTTTCATCCAAAAATAGCACATAGGAGAAGAATAAAGGATCACGCATTATTCTACGCTGAGACCATTGGCAAAATTTCAATCTGGCACAATGATCGGCATCACGTAATGCTTGATGTAAAGAAATGTGATACGGGTGAAAATGATATTGTCGAAGGATTCTTGACACCGTAAATCGTGATACGCCGACACTGTTTTCTATGACCCGAGTGCTAGAGAAAACTTCAAGCCATTGAAATGACCTTGAATGATATTTCATGTATATGCCACAATATTTGTCTTGAATATACCAAACAAATTACATACTTATACTTTTAAAATCATTTAATTAATTTGCAATACCTGCATTTCAGGATTGGGAACTTCGTTAACAGTTGCTGTTTGTAGCGTTGTAGACTCCATACTGTCATGTAATACATATTGTCCATATCCGAAATTACGAATAAGGTAAGATAGACGTAAATCAGGAAGAGAATAAATTTCTAGTGTTCCACTATCTCTGTATACTAATAACCAATATGTTGGTTTTATCTCTTGTAAATGTTTTTGCCACCTGTAAACAATTATTAATTAGGAGAACGATTATTTCTAATAAAGGAATCAACTGTAAAGTAACTACTTACCAAGGAGCTTTTTTTGATGCTCCTTCGGATACTTTAGCAACTGATGGTGCAGGCATTTGAAAGGCTGGTGCATCGCCATAGAGAAGGTCATCTTCGTTGTCGATATTAGTAACTATAGGTGGTTCTTCAATGTTATGTTCTTCTTCATGTACTTCGTCTTCTACATTTTCAGGTAATTGTGTTGTAAATATTCCACTAACATCTCTATAGCCACATAATGCTTCTATTTGAGGGCGCTAAAATTTAAGTGATGATAATTGAAATTAGAAATAACAAGTAGCAAATGTTTCAATAAAGTAATTAACTTACGAATAATAAATTAGCTGCTTGAGCGTGCAATTTTGCAGTTCCACGCCCTTCTCTGAGAGTCAATAACATAACTTGTCCATCTTCAGAAAGTAATGTTACATAAGGATCTGCACAACTTGCATGTATAATTGGACATCCAAGATCTATAGGCATGTGTTGAATCTATAATTGTGATACGTGAAACTATATCTAGGATTTTATACAAGCATGCGCACAAGTAGTTATTTACCGTATTAATACTATAGATACCTGCTCAATTCCTTGTAGAAGACGTACACCCATTTGAGTGACTTGTACTATATACCTATTTGCACCAAGATTTCCAGCAAATACTGTGCTCCCCTGTGTGCTAAATCCACTTTGATCCACTTCATTAATTTCTTGGCCAGTTTGTAATATCTACATACATTATAATTTAAGTAACATATATTATATTTAGAAACAAAACTATCGAATAAGTATAAAATACACGATACCATAGTTGAATCTTCTTGACTTAAAATCAAAAAAGCATGTGATCCTTCTGCTTCAGGTCTTACTTGTTCATCGATATTTAATGTGCCAATGACTGTCCACATATCTTCACATCCTGGTAATTCGAATGTAGTTACAACCTGTTTCATTATGAAATAATATTCTTGTTAGATCAATATTAGAATAATTACATTGTAAAATTACTAATTTAAATATTAAAGCGTGAAACAATCACCTGAGGTCGAATCGCACATTGAAGAACACAAAGTGCACCATTTTTACCATATCCAGAAGTTGTGACAAGTTCAACATCAGGGTCTTGACTGTGTGAAAATTCTTCAGATAAAAAAGCTGGTTCACCCATAGATATATTGCCGCACGGTCCAATATTTAATAAACTATCACATACCTGCAAAGATTTAATTATATAATGAAACAAATTTTTTAAAAATTCTAATGTGTTTTTACATGTAAATACCTCAAATATATATGATGTAATTTGGATGGAAGTATGTGTTTCACTTCCATACACCTCCAGCTCTTCTGGATCTTTTATATCTAGTACATCAGATGCCATCCAATCACCTATAAAATCTTGTTTTATCTTTTTTGCTGGAGTTTCTTCGGTTTCATCTTCTTCGATTGTTATTTCGCTTTCATATGTATTTTGCAAATTTTCTGACTCTTTCTCGATAAATCTTAATAAAAGCGAATTACCAAGACGTGACCCAAGAAAGAGGTAATTATCTTCACACATGCATACCTATAAATTAAATTTTACACATATATGTATAAATTAGTATATCATTCAAATTGTAGAAATGACATATTAAAAGCAGAATGATACACTGTTTACACATTGTTGATACATATTTCATACATATAAATCAAACAATTTATTTTTCAAATGTACTTACACATGAAGTTAAAACACTTGCTGCAGCTTTATCAAAGTGAAAGCCCCTCACTGAACGCATACTATCAGCAAACAAGGATAATACATACAACTCTCCACTCTTCAAAGAAATTACTAAACGATCTGAAGATATAAATGCAACTTGGGAACCTTCTAAGCTTATCTTTACTCCCTCTTGTGGTTCTGTATTTATAAAACATGTGGGTAAAGATTCTTATTCATCTTGGATAAAGAATACATTAAATACATTATTTAATACTAACTTAATGGAAAATTTGTACTGGTTTCTGCTAGGTTATTTAAGGAAACACCGTAAGGTGGTATGCTCTGATTTAAGTAAATGAGAGAATTAACCGCCATAATTAGAGTCCCACCAAGTGGTTTCTTCACTGGTACTGCCTGATAACAATCGAATGGTAAATTTGATACAGACCAAATTATGGGATGTACTCTCTGTTGAATATTTAGCGATATTGCAACCATAGCACAAGTATCTTGTCTGACTGCGATACGTCTACAATGTTATATCGTATTAGTTACTCATTCAAAGATCTTGCAGAAATAAGTTAATGTATATATAATGTAATTAATTGTACAAATGTTAAACTTACCCTGAAAATGTCCTAACTGGCTCGTATAATATTAACAATGTTGGTTCATAATAACCATGTAAAAACTGTAAATCTATTATGTTGTCCATTTTTTCCTCTAAACATTTTAATACTATCATATATGATGACAATATAGGAATTTTATTAGATGATGCTTTTGAATTATCTAATAAATCTCCATCATCGAGACTTGGATCTTTCTTAAAAGGTAATACAACTAATTTCCGACCATATATTAACATTACCGCACATCTTCCTTCAGGATCTACCCTAACGATAGGAATATGATGATGATTTGTCCATCCATCCTAAATAAATAAATAAATGTATTTTATTACTTTTCCTAAAAACTTGTTTCATTTTATGTTATAAATGAAACTATATGTATAAAATATTATACTGTAAATATTCAAAAATACTTCAAAGTAAAATTACCCTGATTTCTTCTTCTTCGAAATAATGTAACGATACTGTTCTGAGATCATGTGTATCTTGATCATATTCTACAACTGATAATTTTGCATCACGAAAGCTTAACAGGAGAGAATCCCTTTGAGATCCAACAAGAGCTACGGCTTGCATTGACATTACATTTCCATGTAATGTGTATTGAGATAAGCATTCCAACTTCATTTTTGGTGGACGTGATTCTGAAAAAAATAAATTAATCATTTAACAATATAAAGTTGCAAATTAAAAAATATTTGAACATATATATCTTTTGTAATTTACTATTTGATTTTTAAATAGATGGTAACAAAATTATATACTTGATAATGTAATAGGAAATAAAAATAATTATATCGACGATAATTACTAGAAGGGTGTATTAAGTGACTGGTATATAATAACTACCAAGTTGTATACATGTATGTAAGGCATATGTTGAATATCTCAAATAATATTTTTTATCTACGCTGTCGAAACATCGAATGATTTATTTCTATTTAGTTAAGAATTATTATAAAATTCATTAATATTTATTGAAGAAAAAGAACGTCGAAGTATGCTTAACTCAAAGCACGCTAAAGAGAAACATTAGTAGTATAAGACAGAATTGACTTAAACAGATAATTAACAAATTTTAAGTAACAGATAACTAAACATACCTGTATATTTTTCTCTTTTCGTTATGTCTACGTCTGGTATTAAACAAAATACTCTGATAATATTTGCACCGGCCACAACAAGACATTTTTCTGAACGATTAAAGAAATAACATGTAATAGCGTGTTCTACTCCTGTAGCAGGATGAGTACTTTTACATATCGAATACATTGCGAATTGTACTCTTAATCGTTATAAACTGAAGTCATATTCCGTACAGGTTAGTATACAGAAAATTCGATACAATATAACGATTTGAAGTTTGTTGTGTTGCGGCCACGGCTTGTGAAGATAGGGATTTTGGCGGATTTCACTGACATGGGTAAGGTCACGGTGTAAGAAAGATAGGTGGACCGACTCTATCCCCACTCCTGTGATCTTAAAGAAATATTTACTTGTCCCTCCTGCAGAGGGTATTAGTGTAACATGTGATCTGGGCGCTCTGCACCCTGGACGAGTCGATGACAATGATGCAGTACCCCCTTCCAACTCTCTTCGGTAGGGGCGGAATAACGAAATCGTTATTAAACACAATAAAACTTTATTTCTATCGGCAGACGTTCCACGTGTCGCAGTTTGTACTCTCTGAATAGTTTCTCTACCGTTTTCAATTCTCCCGCGCGTCAATTGTTTCTCTCCCACTATTCGGGGAGTCGTAAAGGTTGATCCCCACACACTCCCCCCTAGTGTCAACGACTCTTTTTTGTACATACTTTAGGGAATTATACATTTTGCCAACCTTACAAACTAATGCAGCGGATTACAGTATTTATATACAGTGTCTTAATATCTAGTAAATTACAATGTATTCTTACAAGCTACCTATACTTGCCGTCACCAGAGTCCATACCTGCTTCGCGCAGGTTAGAAGGTAGTGGGAGGAACTTATCGAAACTCGATAATCCCACTCCGCGGATTCCTAACCCCCTTCATTGACTGTGATCAATATACTGAGTAAAACAAAAGTACGGTGAAATGGATGGAATTCATGGAATATGAAAGGAACAGTGTTTAATATATACAATGCCTCAAATGGTCGATTTTGGCGTCAGGGACGTCGCATCACCACAGCACAAGAGGCTACGCGCATGCGCGTGGGTGTGGGAGTGGGAATATGAGGGCACCAATCAGAGCAATGATGCGCAAGAAAGAACAAAAACTGGTCCTCCAGCGGGTATGGACTCTGGTGACGGCAACTATAATATTACTTGCGATAAACTATATCTGATATGTCTTGTTCATCGCCACGTTAATTGTTGCTTTCTTTCGCGCATAAGTCTTTGGCGTAGAGGTACTTGGTTCACCTATCAGCGTTTCTCCTGTGGTCTCTGTCGTGAGATCTTCAGGAACGAAGTACGCTGGTTTCAATAGTTCTGTAGTGACTACGCGCGGTGTACCATTGGAGTTAATTTTGTAATTTTACTCGCTGATTCTCTCTAGCACTTTGTGTGGACCAGTATACGGTCGTATAGGGGTTTTTTAATCATTCCGGTCTTTAAAAATACATGGGAGCATGTATGTAATTCTTTATAAAAGAATGCACGTTTCTTGTGTTTATGTGCTACTGGAACGGGTCTCACATTGCGCATGTGCTCGCGGGATTCCTCCACGAAAGTTTGAGGATTTGGCGCGTACTCATCCGAAAGACAAAATTCCCCAGGAACTCTAAGTGTCGTGCCGTAAACATATTCCGCGGGAGATGCACCTGTATCTAATCGCACATGTGTTCGCAATCCTAGTAAGACTGTCGATAATTGTCTTACCCAGTTTTTGTCCAAATAAAATTAATGAGTAGGTAAAGTATGCCGGTTCTGGAACAGTGAGATCTCAGGGCGGCGCGGGGACGGGGGAAGTGAGGGGCGGGGCTTCGTGGGGGAGTGTGACGTCACTTTTGATTGACCACCCCCTTCAAGGCTCCATTTTGTTTTTTAATTGGCTGCTCCTCTTCGTGTTTTTTAATTAGTTAATAAGGCCCCACCTCCGCCCACTTTTGATTGAACACCTTTTCGAGGGGCGCTAATGGATCTATTTCAAAGACACGTGCAAAGATTCGCGAAGTTTCGCGAGTCGAGGACAAATTTAAAAACTGCAAACTAAACGTTCTGTGTTACCATCTTAATGTCATACGTAATGAAATGCATTCTTTGCAAATGTATTATTCGCGGAAGATTAGATCGTCAAATATCCATACCGACTCACGATCGAACCATGGATACAGGATACTCTATTTCAAGGGCATACGTGAAGGAATGCGTGGAATATTCGAGACACCGATATGTTGTCTCAGGGACAAAGTCAAAAACTGCAAGCTGAACGTTCTGTGTTACCAGCATCTGCCGCCAGTGATTCGCGCTTATGAAGAAAGAAATAATATTCAATTGTAAATACATCATTATATTTGATCACCATGCTGAATTACATTCAACCCTAAGGCTAACAATTTAGAATCAATCAATGAATGACGTTCAAAATTTTCATCTTCGGTAATTATTCTTACAGTATCATTTGGTTTTACATTATGTATTAAATTTACAAAAGTTTCATATCTGCGCTCGACGAGAAACGTATTCTCGGAAAGCCACGTGTACATATGATTGATACAGTATTCGAAATTAAACATTCTACAAATCGTTTTTTCCGTGAGGAACAAGGCGTTGACGGAAGTGGAGAGTTTCGCGACTTTAACATCGTCCACGCAGCGAAATTCAATCGTTATATCGCAAACACGTATCGGATCACTAGACGTCATTTCAAAGTTCCGTAAAATGTCCATCTCTCTCCGATAGCTTTTTCCAGGTAAACATTGGAAACTGGATTTCATTGCCGCGGTTATCTCCAATAGCCAATTCCACATCACAGCGACGACCAATTATTATTCCAATATCTAAATACTTGTACCAGGTAGTCGTCAAAGGATATCTCCGTTCCAAAATACGTACTCCGCGGCTCGACTTCAATTCGGGCGAATCATTGGTTTCACTGTGTAAATGAAAAGAATATGAAATGAATGATGCATATTTTTGCTACGTTTTACATCGAGGAAACGAACATCTTACCATGTACGCATTTTCTTGGAAACTGGACGCAATGTGTAATTATCATCTAAAAATTTCTCCTCCGTTCCTCGAGCAACTTCAGCAGCAGTCCACATCACTGACATTTAAATTGGTTAAAATCTTACAATCTTCTAACCGCTGTATCGCAAAGTTCCTTTTTATATCGAATCCACTCCCCTCCATCATCCCTTATCATTTAAGGAATTTATTAATGATGCAGCATTTCTTTTTTCTGTACCATGACGTCATGTTTATTTCATATTTCAAAAACAGTTTGCATTTCTACATCAAATAGCGTATATATTTTGAACACATTTTCCATGGCACAAACGTCATCGTGAAATGTACATCTGTAATGTCCTTCACTCATTGTAGACAATTTCGGTATTTCTCTGTCTTCTAAATCCGTGTCAACATCGAAGACTTCCATTCCAGTTAAATTGTACAACCATCTCTTCTTTTCCGATCCTTTAACTAAAATTCTGTCAGTGCATTCCAACGCGGTTCATAACAGGCTGCTCGCCTTCGCGTAGGGTACGTAACCATCCGTCCAACTGATTCCATGGTGTTTTTTCGTTAACCACCAAACACCACGTTTTTCGTTAGACGTTAGACGATGCAATCCAAATGGAGGTTCAAATATCCAATGCGATAACTTTTTTCCTTGCGTGAGGACAGCCATCTCTTTTATGATAAAATCATTCGAGTCCGTTTTGAAACCTTGCAAGTCTACGAACGTTAGGTGAGCCATTTTGCTGTATCGACAGTTTCGAAGAGACTGAACATTCAGCAGAGATTTTTACTGTATTAGTTTAGTCTGCGTACTACATTCGTCAGAGGGCCGTACTCGACTGTGCGATCGTGTATAATCAAGTAGTAAGCAGTTGTATTGAGCGGCACGTTATCTTTGCATTCGAAATGTATCCTAACATCAGTCGTGACACTCTTTAGTGATTCGTTCTGACGCAAACAATCTATGACCGCAAACGGATCACATGATAAAAACTCTAACATATCGAGCAGGGGTTCACCGTGTCCGTAATATGATTTTCGAAAGTTTGCGTACATATCGTAAAGTGTCGCATACTTTTTCTTATCAAAATCCAGATTCAAGTCATCGTATGGATAAGATTTTGAATTTAAATGTAGTCGTATGTTTGATAGTTTACAAATGTTAAAGTGATTAAATGTTTTGTCCAATTTGTTCTTTCGATCGGTTTGCGGATATTCGATCGAATATCACATATCGCGGTTTCTCCAATTGTGTTGCAGTTTTCACAGAACAAGTATGCTTCATGGTTGTTTGTAATAACGGATATTCATACAGATCCCAGGAGCGGAAACTCATCGAAATCAGTCGACCACTTTCAACAATACGTAAGAGCGCCAATTTGTTCAATTCATCCAAACCGACGTGAGGCATTCGCCATTGAACTTTAAACAATTTGAGTACAGGTTTCAAAACGCTAGGACCAATTAGGGCGTTTTCATCGTTTCGCGATCGAATTAAAATCAATTCATGGCGCGCATTGATTACGATGCGTTTATAATCACCAGGGATTCCGAATAACATACCAAGTGGCACGCAAAAATTAAAATCTGGATTTGCAGCATTTTGCTTATGATACCAGCCAGCATTACCTAACGTTTTACTTTTTTCAATGGACAGAGATATATAATTCTTTAACGGAGTTGTTACTCCCGGATTTTTGCAACGAACTATTTCAACTCCATCCAGTTCATATCGAATTTCATCAAACAGAGAGGCAGCACAGTTGTTATCAAGAACAACATCTTCCTTCATTCCCTCCGGTTTTTTCTCCAGTAGACTCAGTTTTCCCTCGATGTATAAGTGACTCTCACACGGTAGCGTGTACAGATCCTGCTGCTGTATCGGTATCCTTATCTCATCACTGTTTCCGAGTCTAGTATTTGCGTATGGATTATAGGTGTGTGTCTCTATGCTGGTTATACAATTGTCAAAGACAGGTGTACCGTCAATATCCAATATGTCTGACATTATTGCTTTACGATGAATCCCAATGATTGTAGAAAACGCTTGTTTTGCACGCTCAGTGTCTTCTTCTTCGTATCTTTTTGTCGTCGTCGTCGTCGTACGTGCAATCTCATGGTAATTTCCTCTTCACGAAAATCTATCAGACGATTGTTTTGATTTACGATACGAATCGTCAAATCATCTATTGATCGTGTGACGATTGGAAGATAAATGCCACGTGGTGGCGTTTCCGAAATCTTATATCC